GAAATCGGTCCGCAAACACCAATTCATGCCCATCCCCAAAATCAGAACCCTTCAAAGAAAGTGCTGAGAACCTTTCCTGGAGTCAGGGCTGCCTTTGGTTTCCCCCCCGAGCGCATATGACGGGCAAACGAGATTGATATGCCCATTGGAGCTAGTGCCTTGCGGATTGGGGCCTTGTTTTGTTTTGCCGGATCATTGGGAAAGCCAGCCTTGTGGACGAAAGCCGCGAGTTGCCGGTGTGAGGTCAGCCCTGCGGAGCATCTGTACACATTTTGGAGAAGTGGAAGACGTGTGGGCTTGGCCCTCGGTGTTTCAGCGCAGCTGGATTCATTTCGAGTCGCTTCAGTCACATGCTTGCGAATTCAAAAATCGAGTCTCGAACTCGCGCAATAGATAGCTTAAGACCGGGTGACTGCCTTGCACCGCAAGTTGTCCTATGGCCTTGGTGGTTGTTTGCTCGATTGGTTTGGGTCATCCTTCACTTCCGTCAGTGTGTTTCGGCAGACCCGTAGCCAAATGAACAGAACCAGGTGCCCTTTTTTGCCCGGGGCCACAGCAGGTCTGAGGTAGGCATCGCTCGCTTGTGAAAGACAGTGGTGCAGGTGCGGGTGGTGAATCGCACGGCCACAGTGCACGAAAGCTGGGGCTTTGTGCGCTTCTCGACTGCAGAAGGCCAGGCCAAGCGTGACGGTGCCTGTTTTAGGTGAGTTTGGCTCAGGATCATGGAAGAGCTTGGTCAATAACCCCCCCCTTCTCTTAGTGTCGACAAGGTTTGGGAAAGCTGTTCCCTCGGATTCATCCGGACCTGGCCAGTCCTCTCTCCCCTCCTTTCCTTTTGGACCCTGTCCCTTCCAACAGGCGGCACCTTCCAAAAGTCGGAGTCGGTTTGCCTGAAGCCAGGGGCGCATCTGGCAGCTGCAGGCGACTGGCAGCAGCTGCTGGTGTCGGCAGGTGCAGTCCGAAGTCGAGTTGTGGCAGTCCTCCTCAAAAGAAAACCGACATGCCAATCATGACAGATCTTCTAGGGGTTGATTCCCCATTCTTTTCAACCATCGTTCTTTTTACAAACCGGATCTGTTTTCTGTGGGGTTCTGATGGTTTTCTGGAAAGAAGGATCCCTGGAAAGACTGGGGAAGTGCCCCCTAGAGATCTGGTTCATGTCGATGTCGGGCTCGGAGGTGGTTCAACTGTGAGAACAGTTTGTATTCACTGATTGAGCTCAACAAACTAAACAGCATGGAGCCTTGTCCGTTTCTATGAAGGGGCATGTCCTGCAGGAGCTCGGAACGTACATACCGGTTGAGTGAGTTTTCGCGGCACATGCATGATGCAGGAGCCTATGGTGAAGAATGCAATACGTTTCATTTAAAGCACCAAGAAACAGGGAGTACAACTGTGGGCTTGGGCAAAGGTCAGGGGGCTGGAATCTTGTCCCGGTGGGTGGCTAAGTTTTCCGCTCTGGATGTATGGTGTGGCTTCTTTTAGGGTGTTCGGGAACCCAACATGGGGGTGGTTGCCCTTTAATCTCCCCTTTAAGTTAACCCTAACACTGAATGCCATCAACATGGGGTGGTTGCCCTCTCATCTCCCCTTTAAATCAATCCTAGCACTGGCCCCCCCAAAAAAAACAACAACAAACAAAAACCAAAAACAAGAAACAACGAGCGGCACCCCCCCCCCCAAAAAAAAAAAAGAAAGAAGCCACGAGCCACGGCGTGGTTCGAATCCTTGGCGCCAGCGCGCTCTCGCGCGCGCCAGGCTTCCCCGGCTCGGTGGAGGTGCTTCCCGCTGAGGCGGAGCTTGAGGCGGGGGCTTGAGGCGAGAAGCCGAGGGAAGCCACTCGCTGCAAAGGTACTGTCCCCTGCTGGTTTTCAAGGGACACTGCTGCGAGGATGTGGTCTTTCCTCGTTTTTTACAGGGAGGTATTCGCACATGGAGTTCTGTAAGGATTTTCTTGGGCCCCGGACTCGTACACCTTGTTTGGTGGTTTTCAGGGAAACCAGAAGGAAATGCGAAATCCAGCATGGGGCTCCCTTAGAAGAGACACGCCTCTTTTTTCGGCATCCCTTGGGTGTTTCTTTGTTAAGGTTGGACCCCCCAAAATGGCTCCGGTTCTCCTTTAAGGAAGGGCTGACGCAGAAAAAGACAAGACGCAGCCAAATTAGCGGAAGGAGCTTCACAAGGATCCCTCCATCTCCTTTTTTTGGACCTCCCAAAGAGCCACCAATTGATCAACTGTTCATTTGGGCAAACTCCAGTCACCCCTGCTTGAGCCCTTTGTTGGGGACCGGATCCCAAAAGAGATTCCACGACTTTTGGGGGGGTCTCCAGAGATATCATTGATTCGGGCGGCGTACCGTCGTAGCATGGTGCTCCTTCACGGGACACGTTTGAGAACCGGGAGGCTGCCATGACCATTTTGGGGAGGAACCCTGTGGGCCCGCGCACCCCGCGTTTTGGGAAATATATGCCTCTTGGCCTGTCGTGTTTTGACAAGCAC